TTTATTTTGTTAAAAAATATGAAAATGTATGATGAAAATATTATAACGTGTTAACAGTTTACATGCATTGAGAAATCTATTTAATATTTTGATTTATATATTAATATTTCCAAAAATTATGAATATGTTTACAAACATAATTATTATATTTACAAATACAAATAACTAAATAGCTTATAAGATAACATAATTATAAAAATATAAATACTAAAATAATGATTATATTTTAAATAAGAAAATTATATTACTCACTTAATGTTTTGGTTTTAAGTTATTTTAAAACTAAATTAAATTATTAATACAGACTCGCGCGTAGCGCGAGTATAAAATCTAGTATTTATAAAAGAGTTATTAAATTAAAAACTAAAGAAAGAAAGAGCCGTCAAAGAATTGATCTCTTCTGACTCAAACTGCATATGCTCTATAAATAATACCTCTCATCTTCACACTTTTATCGCAACTCAAATCTCAACAAATAAAGTCTATCTTATTCACTTCCTTTTCTCTTCTTCGCTTTTCTTGATTCTTTGTATCTCCTCTCGTTTTGTCTCTTCTTTGATTCAAAGGTTGCTCTCTTTTTCTCTCTGCAAGGATCAAGATAAGGAATCTTTTTGAAGATAGATGGATCAGAAAGTAAGACATACTGAAGTTTACACTCAAGATGGAACCGTTGATCGTCACGGAAATCCAGCAAGCCGAGCCAAAACCGGCAAATGGCTCACTGCTATTCTCATTCTTGGTAAATCTATATATCCATAAACACATATGTTCTTGTTTGTGAAGTGTTTTACGTTTCTAAAGTGATATGGTTTTTGATCAATATAGTGAACCAAGGGCTAGCGACGCTTGCCTTCTTCGGTGTAGGAGTGAACTTGGTCCTGTTTCTGACAAGAGTGATGGGACAAGACAATGCAGAAGCTGCCAATAACGTCAGTAAATGGACAGGAACTGTTTATATCTTCTCTCTGCTTGGTGCTTTCCTCAGTGACTCTTATTGGGGACGTTACAAGACTTGTGCAATCTTTCAAGCAAGTTTCGTTGCAGTAAGTTCCCTTTTCAACTCTACTCTGTTCTCTTCTAGGGCTTATTTCTTGTGCAGTACGCTAACGTTGTTTTATCTGGTTTGTTATAGGGTTTGGTGATGTTATCTTTATCTACTGGTGCGTTACTACTCGAACCAAGTGGTTGTGGTGTTGAAGAGTCTCCATGTAAGCCACACTCAACGGTCAAGACGGTTATTTTCTATCTATCGGTGTATCTGATCGCGTTAGGGTATGGTGGTTATCAGCCTAACATAGCTACCTTTGGAGCTGATCAGTTTGATGCAGATGACTCTGTTGAAGGACACTCGAAAATCGCATTTTTCAGTTACTTCTACTTAGCTCTGAATCTTGGATCGCTCCTTTCGAATACAGTCTTGGGTTACTTTGAGGATCAAGGAGCCTGGCCGCTAGGGTTTTGGGCGTCTGCAGGGTCTGCTTTTGCTGGTTTAGTACTTTTCTTGACTGGCACGCCAAAGTACCGGCATTTTACACCTAGAGAAAGCCCTTGGTCTAGATTCTGCCAAGTCTTGGTTGCTTCAACAAGAAAAGCCAAGATTGATGTCAACTATGATGATATGAATCTCTATGATTCTGAGACTCAAAGAACTGGAGACAAGAAGATTCTTCACACCAAAGGCTTCAGGTAGATAATTACTTTAAAAGATTCTGTTAACTATCAGATTTTGACTCTATGTTCTTGTGTTTAATGCAGATTCTTGGACAGAGCTGCAATTGTTACACCTGATGATGAGGCTGAGAAGGTTGAGAGTGGTTCTACTTATGATCCATGGAGGCTGTGCTCAGTGACACAAGTTGAAGAAGTGAAGTGTGTGTTAAGACTCTTACCAATCTGGCTCTGCACCATTCTCTACTCAGTGGTGTTCACCCAAATGGCTTCACTATTTGTTGTGCAAGGCGCAGCGATGAAGACAAACATCAAAGACTTCAAGATTCCAGCTTCAAGCATGTCTACTTTCGACATTCTCAGCGTTGCCTTCTTCATCTTCGCTTACAGGCGGTTTCTCGACCCTCTCTTTGCAAGACTCAACAAGAGGGAGCCCAACAAAGGTCTCACTGAGCTTCAGAGAATGGGGATAGGTCTCGTGATTGCGATAATGGCCATGATAGCAGCAGGAATCGTGGAGATTTACAGGCTGAAACACAAGGAATCGGCTTCAAACTCGAGCTCGTTGAGCATATTTTGGCAGGTTCCTCAGTACATGATGATAGGTGCATCAGAAGTGTTCATGTACGTTGGCCAGCTTGAGTTTTTCAATAGCCAAGCTCCAACAGGGTTAAAGAGCTTTGCAAGTGCTTTATGTATGGCTTCAATATCGCTTGGAAACTATGTAAGCAGTCTTCTAGTTTCCATTGTCATGAAGATCTCTACAAGAGATGATATGCCTGGTTGGATCCCTGGGAATCTCAATAAAGGACACTTGGACAGATTCTACTTTCTTCTAGCTGGTCTAACCGCAGCTGATTTTGTGGTTTATCTGATTTGCGCGAAATGGTATAAGTATATAAAGTCTGAAGCAAGTTTCTCTGAGTCCATGTCTGAAGAGGAAGTCTGAGAGTTTTGGGGTTTACGCTGTGAAGATTTGGACAGTAATATGTCCAAAGCTGAGCTTGTTCTGTCATATAAACTGCTCTTTTGGTTTCCTTTTTGGCTAACCCTTGTGCAAAGTTTTGTTAATGTTTCTAAATAAAGACAGTTGATCATTCCAGACAACAGTTATTGTAACCTTCTCTCATATAATATCATAATATGTTTGCTAGTCAAATGAATAAGCTTTGAATCACACAAGCCAGTTAATAACACAGTAAAAAATTACATTATAACATCAACATCTTAGTGTCAAAAGTGAAAACAGTAAAACAGCAGAAACAATAAACTAACTTTACTGGTTTCTATCGAGGAAGAATGCCAAATTGCATGTTTATGTCTTGTCGGTATAGTACTCGGTGTGCCCAAGATATTGCTTCGCAGAATCTCTCTCACTCTCTCTCCGTGTCTGGTTCATCGTGTCAAAGAACTTGTGGGGGTAGCTGGTAGTGCTTTCGCAAGAGACATTGGTGCCGAATGTGCTTCGTACTTGACCTGATCTACGTTAAGAATATCTTCCTGAAGATGGCATCCGTTGAAAGTTCGGCTTTAGACGCTTGTTTGACATCCCAGCAAACGATCTAAACATCAACACAAAACCGATTTGATATCATATATATGCATACCAATCTGTTATTACGAATCTATTTCGACATTCAATTATATAAAGAACATACCGTGGAGATCCTTGTCGTCTATGCGAGGGAGGCATTGATCTCATACTATACAGTGCTCTCTCAGCAGCCTAAAGGTAGTAAAGACCATCAGACATAGGGAACAATGGGATCCAAATAAACCCGAGCCCAAGGATTTTACCTGCATTCTAGCTTCGTCCCATGTTGATCCAACTCCTTCCCCTAAAACACGTCCATCTATTTCAACCTGAAACACAGTACAAAAATAGAATCAAGAGGGGCCTCAACTTCAGACATTAGACTAGACTGATAGGCCGTGGGGTGTGCGAACCTGAGCATGCAATTCATCTCTGTGGACCATGTCAGATTGAAGTGGACGCTGAGACTGAAAAGACATCTCCCAACCCTCCGATGCACACTGAAATTATGTTTTAAGGGCAGAAGATATCAAAGATGAGACCAACAGTATCCAGATTAAGGGGATTACGTACCAGTTCCCTGAGCGCAGTAATGGAGCCAGTGGGCCTCATAGAGCCTTCTAATCTTGGATCTGTAGGTCTAGAAGGAACTGGTTCATCTCTGGCAAATGGCTGTTTATCAATTACGTTTGCATTTCCCATAATCATATTGCCATTAGCGAAGGGGCTAACATCCCTGTGGCTTGAACCTGGGTCGCCGCCATTTGCGCGAGACAAATATATATCTGCAGAACAGAATGTATAAACTCAAATAAGTCTCACCCTTAGGTAGGGACACGCAGCAGCTTTGTAATACATTTAAGTTATTACACCATCTGTGATTGATGTGATATCATAACGTCTTACCAGCTAAGTTCTGGATAGAAACTTCAGAAGCCTTGCGCAGGGCTTCTCGTCTCGATTTGCCAACCCCTTCTCCAATTTTTTCACCAGAAAGCCAAGCCTTCAAAGAAAAAACATAGATTAAACTGACAGTTGAAACAATCAACAAAAGTAACTCGTCTAAGGGAAGAGAGCATCCTAAAGATGTGGCATAGGTTCCACCAAAATTACTCAGAACAGACAATATCTAAGAGTGAAAGCTTGGTAAATATTTGAAGTTTAAGAGGCACAGGTACCTCAACAGAGAACCGCAAATCTGTACTAGCAACCAAACCCGGTTTGTAGTCCACCTACAACATCATGGAATATATATATAAATCAACTCGTGCATGGAATTAGTGGTAATCAGCTAATCATGATGATAATCACGCACCTTAGATCCACATTTAATAGCAATCTGATGTAGAACTTCAGCTGGGTTCTCTGTTGCTGAGACACTTCGTCCAGGTATGAAGTCAAGATCACTGTTTCTTGAAGATTGATTCCAAGATGACTCTTCCCCTAGAGAGTCCATCCCAAGTCAGCAATTTATCTTCAGAACCAGCTGATACAAGAAGTAAAAACATTGATGGCTTACCATAGAAAGGATGAGAGCCTGGTGGATTGTTGTTTGACCGTAACTGTTCATCTCTCCGAAGCGGCTGCAAATATATGAGAGTGAGCACTGGACGCTTACAACTCATTGGTAAAAATAAGATTATTGGTACCTCTTTTGGTAGCCTGCGATTCTCATGAGGAATCCTATCAGATTGAGTCGAGTTCTCAATCTTAGGAAAAAAGGACTGATGGCGTGGCCTATTCAAGCTTTCAGAATCCAAAGGATATTCTTTGGAGACTGTTCGACGAAGTGGAGCTGGGTCCATCTCCTCGTCAACAGGAAACCAACCATTTCTTGGCTGCACATGTGGAGGAGGTGGAGTTTGAGCTGGAGGTCTTTGCGGAAATGAAGATTCACTTGGAGCAGCATCTCTAGTATCTTGTCCATGTTGCAATATGAGGAGCCTCCTCCTAGTATCTGGATCTAACTCTGATTCAGGTACCTCACCCTCCTCTCTAGCAGGAGAACTCTGCAAGCTTGGTTCTGAAGGAACCAACTGTTTAGAAATTGGTGTCTGTTGTTGAAACTGAACTCTTGGGAAAGTCATAGCTGATGGTTGTGGTGCTTGTTGCACGACTGGTACTGGTACTGGAGCGGGAACAGAAGAAGCAGAAGCCATGGGATACTGAACTGGAGCAGCTATCCTTGGATCTATATTTGACGCTGGAAGGACAACTGAAGATCCCGAAATTGCCTCCTGCATAGAAAAGAAAAATGTTTTTAACTCTCATCAGTCATCACTGAACAGAAAACATTAAACCCGAACAACTGAGCCTAGAAATGTAATCAATCACCTTCATTCTTCTCTCCACTTCAGTATCAGCCATCCCGTCAAAAGCAAGTGGATCTTTGTTCCCATTTAAACCCGAGGATTCGTCCTATATTGAAAAGAGACTGAGCTAGTGGCAAGCAACTTGGAGTGTAAGTAAGTACAATCTATTAACATGAAACACCACTAACCTCTGGCACCAAGTAGTGACTGACATCAGGCGGAGAAGGAATATCCTCAACATCATTCTCATAAGATATTTGAGCAATCCTTTGCAGCAGACTATCATCAAAATCCCTGTTACCAAGTTCAAATAACATTCCACCGTCAGAATGTACTAAAGAAGCACCCTTGATTTAGTAGAGATATCAAGGAAACAAACGTCTATTATCAAAAATTTACATCTTACCTGAAAAATCCACCTCTGACACCGCAAGCAACATTTCTGGTGATACACAGTACTGGTGTTGCCGCTGCCTACATAAAAGGAAATGAGAAAAAATATATTCTTAGGGTGCACATAGGTCTAATACGGCTTTGATTTGTCTCCTAGACGATATGGAAGTCTTTGAATATCTATATTCTTATCAGATTATGTAATTTTCATATCCAAAATCAACCAAAGTAAAAGATTATACTCACTTCAGCTTGAGGAGAGTAGTAGGGAGCAAATGCAGGGACCACATACACTCTCGGCTGATCCTTCTCATCCCAAACTTTCAATCGATCATCAATTATCATAGCCATCTTCGGATGGCAGGTTGCATCGAGAAACACATTGAACAATGACTTTTTAAAACCTGAGGTGGTTAATTACAAGGTTGTAAGAAACGATACCATGATAGATAAAGCAGGTTTAGAAAGAAAAAAACAATGTACCAGCTTTCACACAGACAATGCGACTAAGCAAGTCATTTGCGTTTATCAAATTCCCTTCTGGATCAAGGAGCCTCCACATCTCTAAAGCGTAATCTCTCTCAGCCATTGTGCAAACATATACTTCGAAACGCTTGCGCCCTTTTGCTGTCAAATAGCTACGAAGTTCCTCCCATGAAGGCCTCATCCTCACAAGAACACTTGTGTCACGTACCTGTGGTGTAAAGATAAAAAACTGAGTCTGAGCCACGAGTGTTGAGATCGATCTACGTGCTCAAGAAAGAAACAAATGAATACAAAGTGTAAACCAGTCAAGTTTTCAAGAATCAAATCCATGACACAGCACACCACTGATTATTTGTCTTTTAAAAGTGTAGTAAGCACCAACAATATAGGAAACTAACAACCGTATACTCGTTTCTAAGACTTGCATACCATGGGATTAATGCGAGTGAGGATAATATTTTTCTCTGGCAGCCTTATGATGGGACGAACAAGAGGCTGATGGTTATCAGACAAGGCAGGAACAACTTCAGATTGCACCTTAATCACCTCCCCGTTATCAACAACCTGGTCACTCTCAACAAACTGCTTCAACAGAACCTTGTCATCTTGATAACGCTTCATCTCAGCCACCATAGCTGCAATCCGTTGCGGGTCCACCTCGTTGTTAATCCTCCTCTGCAACCCCTCAATCTTATCGTCAAAAGACTTGGTAGTATTCGCCACCACAAGAGTTTCATCAAGATCAAAGACAATACCAAGACATCTAAGATTGAGCATGACAAGACAGGAGTCATAAATCCCAGAGGTAACAGTAAATGCCCAGAAACAAGGACGGTCACTGTCGAACTTTTCAGAGTACATTGCAACCAAGTGGAGCTCCTCATCACCACCTAGTAACATCACAGCCGTCTGCAATAAAACAAATGTGTAATACAACTAAGTTCAGTCAATTATGCCTTTCATATTCATAGACATTAAACCACACAATGATGCAACTGTGTCTCATAACTTTAAGTTCATAAAACCTTTAGTGTGAGTAAAGGCTTAGATGTGTTCTACAAGGCATTAGTATACCTTGTTCTCTGTTAGACAGGAAGAGTAGAGGAGAGTGAGTGGCTCCTGAGCAGTGGGAGAAGATGGAGGAGCTTCCAACTTGAAACAAAGGCCAGAAGATGAAACGGTAGTAAGTACAGAGAGAGGAGGACATCTCTCGCTAGGTTGAGAGAAACGGGTTATTCTGATGCCTCCAATCTTGACTTCATCCATTACTTTTCTCTGTTGTTTCTTCCTCCTCTGTACATCATCTTCTTGCTGCTGCTGATTTGATTCCATTGGAGGAGGAGGAGGGTAAATCTCCATTTCCCCAAGCCTACCATCTTCATGATACACTTGTACTCTGTTACTATTATACATAATAATAGCTTTCTTCCCAAATTTACAGATCAAAAAGTATGGAACTTTGTCTCAAAACTCAAATTCGGTTGTCAAAATCTTTACTTTTAGGGTTTCGTTGTCCGTTGGGCTTGAAAGTTCAATTGGATCTTGATTTGTTCTTAGCAAGAGGAAAAGGAAACGATTTTGATTGATGGGTAAAGGAGAAAAAGGATGGTACTTTTTTTTTGATTTGTTTTAATCTTAAAGAAAGTTTTGTCCCTAGATCTGTAAGTACCGGTGATGAAAAGACTCTTAATTCTTCGTCTTCTCCGATGAATCTGTGTTCGAAATTAGGTTTTTTTCTTCTTTTTTTTTTTTTTTGTGTGTGTGTTGTTCTAAATTGCGAGAGAGGAGAGAAGCCCTAGATCCAGAGATTGATTGTAAATACGGATTTGGCCCTTTCGGAGTTTTTAAAGGGGAAACACGAAGCAAGGTCCCTCCCCCCCCCTTCCTTCATTGGTTTCTCAACCATTTGTTTTTTTTTTTAAATTTATTTTTGCTATTTTTAATAGTTATTAAATAAAAAAAAGGTCCTGAAATAGTTTTCGTGTCAAATTCAAATTCGTTCTGGTTCTGGGCTTATACCCATCATCAATGAACCGACTTAGTAATTAATCATACCGGATCAAACCGATCCCGAAATTGAATCGAATAATATCGTCGGCAATCGGCATCTAACGGTAACATTATATCTTCTTTTCTGATCTCTCTCTTCGCATCGCCGACTGTGAGACTTTACCGAATATGGCCGCCGAATCAACAACCTCCGTACACGGTAGTAACGGAGATAAATCTAACGGTAACATTGGTGCTTCTGATTCTAAGGAGAACGCAGCAATAGGCAAGCTTGGTGCTCCTTTTTTAATCACGTGATTGGAGATTTTCTAGGGTTTATTCGATCTTTGTTTGCTCTCATATAGGTTTCTGAGGAGATTGTGATAGAGTTACGTTCCAGAACAGCTCAATTTTGAAGATGGTGTTAACCGATGAAATTAAGCAAATCCTTGAGAAGTTCAACTTTCGAGACTCGAGCCTGTTGCGTTTGAGGTAAGACTTCTTTCGTTTGGCTCTTTAGCGCGGCTGAGAAAGTTTATCGATGCTTAGATCTTACGAAAACGTGTGTTTGCTTTGATTAGGACGACGCTAAGAAGGATGTGAAAAAGGAAGGTTAACACAGATTCAGAGGCAGAGGAAGATGAAGGCAATCAACAACACAAAGAGAATGGCATCTCTAATAAGAAGAAAAAGGTTTAATCTCAAAAACTAATTATTACCTCTGAATTGTTTTTCCTTGCATTCAACAAGATAGTACACCCTCTAGTTTGTTTCTTTATGTTAATTCGATATACTATTCACAAAAAACATAAAAAAACAAAAGATTCTGAAAATCTTGAATTTCTGTTTTTTTTTCAGCATGAACGAAGGATGAAGATTGCTGAGCTGAAGAAGGAATCCGCTAGGCCTGATGTAATTGAGTGAAGGATGGATTTATATTTGAAGCTCTTTCTGATGTTTTCCTCTCCCTATTGTGCTCTTTTTGTTATCCTTCCACATGCATTATAAACCTTTAGTATCACTCATTCAGAGTTATATCTCAACTTTACTTTTCTTTACTCATGAGTCATGACCTCCATACTTTGCATTCATATTCTGTTGTTTCCATCATTGAACTATATGTTAACATGTTGATATGATGCGTGAATTGTGTGGTATACCGAAATTGATCTACATTTTATACATTTGAAGAAGTAGTGATGTTGTGGCCCTTGTACCTTTTTTGTTATGATTATCCTCTAATAGCTTATAATTACATTTTTTTTCTTGAATTTTACATGCTATAGTTTCTCGTTCTGTAGCTCTCAACAACATGTTTTGATGTGTTATTTATTTCTAACTTCTATTTTAATGTTCTTAGGTCTGGGACGCTACTTCAGCAGAACCAAAGTTGTTGGTGTTTTTTAAGTCGTAGGAATACAGTTCAAGTAATGGTTTTGTAGGTTTTTGACATTTCAAGTAATGGTTTTGTAGCTAATTATATGTTACCGTGATTTGTGGGTGTAGCAAATAGGGGGATTGTATCGACAGGGATAGAACTTCTAGTATTGACATGCATTATAAACTTCTAGTATCACTCTGAGTGACATCGCGATTTTGCTTTACTCATAAGTCATGACCTTTATACTTTGCATTCATATTCTGCTGTTTCCATCATTGAATTATAGATTAAGAATGTTGATATGATACGTGAATGAGTTTTTTTTTTTTTTGTGTTATACCGAATTTGATTTACATTCTACTAAATGATAACCCGTGCCATGCGCAGAGTGAGATTTTTTAAAATATGTTGTATTTAAATACATATTTTGCTATCAATAACCTTTTTTACAACCTTTTCAAAAAAAAAAAACCTTTTTTACATTCGAATAGGAATGAACATTTAGGTACCATTTGGTTCGGTTAGATTCTGTTTGGTTTAGATCTTTGCGGTTTGGTTCGAATCTTTGCAGGTTCGGATAACCCATTTACTTTTTTTTTAAAGATTAAAATTCATATATACTTTAAAATTTTCAAAATCTAAAATTAAAAATAATATATAACATATAAATATGAAAAATGAATGCCAACATACTTAAACTTAATATAAAATTGGTTTCTCTTAAATATTTGGACAAAAATTCAATAAATACTTCAATTTGTTTTGGTATTTGGAGTATCGTTTAGCTATTTTAAAAATGTACATTTAACTATTTTATATATTTCTAAGTATTTTGGAAAATTTTAAAAAATCTCATGTATTTTATATATTCTTAGATGTTAAATTTAAAAATAAATAATATATCTAAGTATATAAATTTGGTTTGAGTACACTCGAATACCCGAAATATTTCGATTCAATTTTGGTTCTCTAGATACCAAAATTTTGAATCCATTTGGATATCTAACCAATCTAACCAAATTTGGTTAAAAATTTGTACTACTTTTTGGATTAGATTTGGTTCAGTTATTGGATTCAGTTTTTTTGCCCAACCAGGTATTTTTTTTTATTGTAACAGAAATTTAAATGAAAAGGATGATGGTTCATATTGATTTTGGTATGCAATACTTTTTAAATAAAATACACTCTATTATGCGTGATCCATTTAGTTAATCATTATAAACTAGTTAAGACCCATTAGAAAAACCATTGGCTGAACTAAAAAATGTTATCATTGATAACAAAATTTATAAAGTGAGATTTTTACCATTTTTAGTAATTTATGGTCGTTTTAAAAATTTCAGAATATAACATATAAGAAAAAATCTATAGTTTTTTATTATATGATTAATGTGATTGTTTAATTTTTTTAATAATATAAAATTAAATAAAAAAGTAAAGAGGATAAAAAAATTGTTATCAAATCTTTATTTATTCATAAAAAATTATTGTGATATATATATATATGTTAATCATATTAGGTAATTCCGTAGCTTTTATGATAGGAAAGAATATGAAATATTCTTTTGTACACTACTAATTAAATATGATAGTTAGTATAAGAAAAATATAACATATGTATAGTTGGACCAACATATTTCTCTAAGAGTTATGAAAATTGAAAATCATTCTCATTGTGACACGTAGCTACAAAAAATGTTGTAATTCTCCACGATTAATATATAGGGGATTGAAAATACAAATCAAAAATATTATATGTGAAATTTTGTAATGTATTATTAATTTATAGTCGTTTTTAAAATTTCAAAATATAACATATATCAAAAAATCTAATTTTTGTTATATATTTAATGTTATTGTTTAATTTATCTTCTCAATATAAGTTTAACAAAAATAGTAGAAGCTATAAATTGTTTTCATCAAATCTTTATATTCGAATCATTAATTATCATATATATATATATATATATAATAGGTAATTTCATAATTTCGTAAATTTTATTTAAGAAAATAATAAATAGCATTAATAATAGTTTTATGTTTAGTTTAATAAAAGTATATTATATGTTTATATGGACCAACATTTTTCTCTACTAAATTTGAGAAACATTCTAATGATGACATGTGGCTACCAAACCATGTTGTAATGTTTCTCAATTAATATATAGGGGATATGTTTGAAGTAGTGAAGTTGTGGCCCTTTTACCTTTTTGTTATGATTATTATATAATAGCTTATAACTAGGATAAGACCTGCGCCTTGTGCAGAGTGAGTATATATAATTAAAATATAAAATTTTAGTACAAATTTAAAATTTACATATGTAGTTTTTATATGTATTTGGAATTTTAGAGTCTTTATACAATTATCTATATGTAGGATAAGAAAAAAATTGTAATTAGAACTGTAGATGGGTCCGGTTCATATATCTTTTCACTTTTCAGTGTTCGAGTGATGAAAAATAAACGGAGTGTCACATGGTTTAATTGGTAGAGCATTATCAAATTCTCTAATGCTTAATTAAGAAACAGTTGGTATAATATTTCTATTGAGAATATATAAAGCTTCAAAACTAATTTAGTATAATATATTTATTTGTCTAATAATATCAGAAAATTATATTTAAAAAAAACTATTTCAAATAAAAAATAATTTTATAAAAAACTAAGTTAATTTTAAATTATAATTATGTGTAAAATAATATTATTTATTCAGATGATATGAGATATATATATATATATATATATATATATATTAACATAAACATCTATTAAAATAAAACTATTTATTCATATGATTTTATAATCATTGTAACTTATTATAAAAAAAAATAAGACCTTGATCACAAAAGTTTATGTGATATTTTAACAGTTTTAGTAATTTATAATCGTTTTAAAAGTTTCAAAATACAGCATATATAAATCTAAATTTTATTAAATGATTAGTGTAGTTGTGGAATTTATTTAATAATAAAAAATAAATAAAAATGATATAAAGTATACATATTGTTAACAAATATTTATTATTTAAAATCATTAAAAAATATATGAGACTTAGTTTGATATGTTATTTTGTTTGATATCCCTTAGATATTAATTGAGAAACGTTTAAAAAGATGTAACCTTAAGTTTATATTAATTAAAAAATAACCAACTCCTACGTGGCATCTCTCTATGCCTTCTATTTCAAAATAGAATAATTATAGAGCTTCTAACTTAAAGTATAGTCTAAAAATTATACTCTCTAGCAATATAATATTTAGTAGGCTATCGTTGGTCGAATATATCAAATATTTATTGTTTCGCACGATTTCTTTAAATAAAACTACGGAATTACCTAATGTGATTAAAGTATATATATATATATATATATGGCAATTAATGGTTTCAAACAATAAAGATTTGATAAAAATTTGTATACTTTTTATCATTTTG